TTTGACATCTTGTTTACAAATATCACATTCATTTTGGCGCTGGCGCTTATGGAAGACGGTGCGACTCTTTCTCCCAGGCTCAGCCTTAGAAAAGCGCTAAATGGCGCTGGCGTCGAAAAATAAATGTCATATTCGTGATCAGGGCATCAAACAACCCCATTATGCAGGTTTTTATCGATTTTGATAAAAAAGGTGTGGCGCCAAATCAGCGCCTAATGGCGCCAAATGGCGTCAGGGCTGAAAACTAATTCGGTATTCGTGATCAGGACATCAAATAACCCTACTATGCAAATTTACACCGATTTGGTGGGAAAGGTGGCGGCGCCAAACTGGCGCCAATTGGCGCCAGCGCCCAAAACGAGTGCTATATTCGTGATCAGGACACCGAATTACCTCTGTGGGCAAAGTTTCACCAAAAATTTTTTTTGTTTTTTTGGGGTAGTAATAGTTGAATAGTGCCGATATTTCACTAGGAAATTTGCCGTGGGATCGCTTAGTTCTCTTATTTTTGAAAAATGGATCACTCCTTTCCCAAACTTGTTTAGCATTTCTCAGTGAGAGAATTCTATAAAGAATGTTTAGTGATGAAGAACTACGGGTTGAAGAAGTGGTGGAAAGCGCGAAAGCAAGCGTGCTCTCGTCAGCTGTGGTCAACCCAACCAACCAGCATGAGTGGAAGCCGTGGACCAGTAAGAGTGGTAAGATTTCCTGAGTTTTCTTGGGCACTGGGACTACTTCATCAAGAAAGGAAGTCTAGGAAGTGCGATGTGTTCGATGTGTCGTGGAAAGATCTGGTTGAAAAGTGCCAGCCGCTGTCAACGATGTCTCGTCGTCTGCCATCATAAATGCGTGGAAAAGGCCGCCTCTGGAATTGCGTGTACGCCTCATGCGATCACTCAAGCAGACGCCGAATTCGCTGAAGTAAGCCGTCTAAACTATTTGTTAGGGTGATGGATCGCCTCTGCTGCAACAGAGAACTTTGGGCCAGCTAGACCATTCTGTTTCGTTTGATATGTCGCATAGCCATGGCATTCCTTGGGAAGGGAACTTCTTGGGAAGGGAGCCACGCCCTCCTCCCCCCCCCCCCCGCCCTATCCCCCTTCTCTAACACGGACGAACGAACGCCATCCCCAACATTCCTCCTCTCGCATACGTCACCCACCTCCATTCCGACCTACCGTCTTACTTTTTTGCTTTTTCTTGCCATTTTCTCCCACTCTTTCAAGAAAAAAAATTCTGGTTTCCTCCAGAAAAGTGTCGCCGGTCGGAGGAGAACTTGAGGGGTGGGGGGGCAGAGAGGTCGCCTATCCAAAAACACGTTGGGTTGTGAAAAGATTTTTGGGTGCGGTGCTAACCAATGAGACGAACAAATATGCCCCCCCATTCCCCCTCTCTAACACACTGACGAACCGAATACGTTCATAACCCTTATCGCTCACTGGGATCGCGATTCCCCCAACTAATTCGGACGAAGGTGCTCAGGGCAAGAAAAGACGTGGCACCAGTCGCGCAGCCGCGTGACATCCCCCCTGCTGCCTTTGCCTCAGCCTGGCTTTCAGCATCGAATAGCCTTCTTTTCGCGCAGCGGGGGGGCTAGGGGGTGGGAAGGACGGGGACAGGCGATGCACTCGAGTGCCTGCCAGGGCTCTGAGCAGAAGATAGGGTGCGTGGGGGGATTTTTCAAGACACCCGCTACCGCAGCCGTTGTCAATCTGTAAAGGAGGACAAGATATATTTTGACGCATCGGCTTGGTGGGGGCCGGCCACAAATGCGTAGTCATTGAAGTTTTGCTACGCGGTTCCACTTTCGTAAAATCCGCCCGTCGAATTTGTTGTGTTTAAAGTGCACCGACGTGTGTTATTTCGCAACTTCAGAAGAGTTCACAGGCGGAATATTGTTAGTTCACACTTATCAGTTAGCGAAAGTGCAGAAAGCCCCTCTCAAGCCGAACAACGCCGATACATTTAGTTAACAGAAGGTGTTCATTAATTGATGGAAAAGGGTTGAAGGTTTATCGAAGCCTCACATGTTTTTTAGCTTGATGTTGATGTGAATGAACAACAACGAGCTGAGTGTCCCACGAGTGTAATTCCTGCCACCCCGCAGACAACCCAGCCTCCTCTGTCAGCTAGCAGCGCTAAATTCGGCCGTAGACAGAATATTCCTTGAAGGCTATGTAACACAAAAATTTTGAAATATTTTGAAATATTCTCAGCTCCTGGAGAAGATGTTGAACTGACATCTCGTCGTACAAGGCTACGAAACAAAATGACGGAGAAATTCTCGTCGTGGAGACGTGGCGGCAAGATGACATCAAAGCTCGAGCTAGACGGGTCTGGTAATCGTGAGTCAGAACAATCAACAGGCACTGCTGTGGAAGGTGAAGCGTTGCTGAGTCCAATGGCTAGCATACAAGTAGGTCAACTAATTAATTTCAGTAGGCTAATAGCACATGCGGATCCACTGGGGGTCGGTTAGGAGATCCGCGTTGCGGTGACGCGCGCTAACTAGCTAGTTGTTTCGACGATCGCTCTATCGATTTTGTGAAACGCAACGGTGTGTCTGGAACGAATACGGCGCATGTAACGCAGTTGCAACGTATTTACGTAACTCTGTCTCAACGCCGCTCTGGATGCAGCCGCACAAAGATATAGAGGCGCAGCTCATCGCCGCAGCGTGGATCTCCCAACCGACGTACAGATTTTAGAGTTGTAGCATCGAATCAACGGGCAAATTTCAGGACTGCTTAGCGGATGTGTTGCCAACTTTGGATGGGTCCCCGTTCATACGAAGCTTATACTTTCAACCAGGAAATGCCTACAATGAACAAACGATCAGTCATGCAAAAGTCTTAGGGAGAGAGATTTTCTCTAATCTCAAAGGAGAAGAGCGAAAGGCCAAAATCAATGAGCAGGTACGTGCGTTCGTTTACAAGTATTTCTGCTGGTTATTAATTACGTTCCATATCGCGGCGTTTGGAGAGCGAGTGGCGACGGAATAGATCGCGAGCGCGGAGGTGGTCTTTGTCGGTTTGGGCAGATGCATAGATAGAGGGTGCATAGGAAAGCGCAGGCGGCATAAGGAAATGCAAGGAACGCCGGATGGCTGTTTATCTGAAGCAGCAACTGTTCCAAGAAACGCAGCCGCGACCGCGTTCGCTGCTAACCGGTATCCAGGCGGGCGCAGTTCGGCCTGGTGAGGGCATTTAGCTAGTTCCCATCGATCAGTACTGATGTCTACCATAGACTTGTAAATTCGTGTAAGCTATGCAATAGGAGGAGCTTCTTGTACAGCTGGAAGAGTCTACAGGTAGATGTGACGTGTCATTTGACAGCGACAAGCAAAAGAAATTTGCCAAGGCGCAAAATGCCCCTCCCAACCCGCATAGCGACTCCAGGTGAGTTGATGCGAGCTGTGCACGAGAACTTTTCTTATTTTTAGATCGATCGAATTCAACTTGCGATACGTGAGACAAAAGACGGCAGATTGGAAGCGATGAAGAAAGATGGAGCAGAAGCGAAGTCGGGCGGTACATTTGAAGGACTGGACGAACGCCTTCAAGCCTTGGCAGTACTTATGTTGCATTATTGTGCAGCTCTACAGGTGCGAAATTTCCTAAGAGCTCATTTTTTATTGGTCAGCTGATATTTTTTTCTTCCTTCTTTTCATCTAACCAAGAGGCAGGGGGTCTTAATTTTCACTGCTACAATGAAATTTTTCTAATTCTCTATTTCCAGGATTGTGAATCACAAGGACGGGAATCGCCCGTATATGATAGTGAAGTGCTACCAGAACCACCACCATCAACTGACAATCATGCGTTATCGGTATGTGAATGCTGAAGAAATTTGTTCCGTTTCCACCTCTTGAGAGTTTGAAATCCCTTTCTCATTTGTCCCAATTAATTGTAAAAGGCAGAATTGGTGTTGGTTTTACTTGGTTGTGAGTTATGTGGCCTTTGCACTAACATTTTTGGTATGCTAGCCATGCTTACGCTTATTTCTCACAAAAGTGGTTTAACCCTTACCTAACCCCTTCCCTCCCTTATCGTGTTATGTTTATGCATGCTAGCTTATTTCACCTTCTTTGTTTTACTGGTGTGGGAGAAACCCGGTCCACGCTGATCTTGTGGGCGGAACCAGGCC